TCTACTTTATGTACAACCAGAGATGAAAAATTGTGCTCTTCCTGTCCTGGTGGGGTTCACTATCTATCTCAAAAACTTATAAATAAATAAAGTTATGACAGAACATGATTGGGGCTTAGGGATATAGCTCAGTGGTACAGCACTTGCCTACCAGCATATAAAAAGGCCCAGAATGTGGCTCAGTGGTTAAGCATCCCTGGGTTCAATCACCAGCATCACAAAAGCAAAGTAAAACAACAAAACTCCAAAATTAATGCTGTAGGAAGATGAGATCAATGTGAAGACAGATATTGGGGAATACCTCAGGAAAGATGATGCCTGAGTGAAGAATTAAGTCTGGAAAAAGGAAATATGAGCAAAAACTCGTGCTTGATAAGGCAATAGCCCCAAAATCTGTTGTAGAGTTTAAACTACAAGATACTTCATATTCTGCATTTTCTTTTTTTTTTTTTTTAATATTTATTTTTTAGTTTTCGGCAGACACAACATCTTTGTTTGTATGTGGAGCTGAGGATCGAACCCAGGCCGCACGCATGCCAGGCGAGCGCGCTACCACTTGAGCCACATCCCCAGCCCTCATATTCTGCATTTTCTGAGCAAGAGTCAAGGCCTTTTTCAAAGGTATTTATGAGTGAATACCAACTTGGAATGTAAAAACCCAAAAGTTAAAGTTTCAAAGCCTACTTAAGTTCTTTTAATTTTTTGTACCAGGGGTTGAACCCAGGGGTACTTAACCACTGAGCCACATTCTAGGCCTTTTTTAGAATTTCGAGACAGGGTCTCGCTAAGTTGCTGAGGCTGGCTTTGAACTCAAAATCTTCTTGTCTCAGCCTCCCTAGTCACTAGGATTACAGGCATGCTCCACCATGCCTGGCTTAAGTTCTTTTAAATCTAGGTTTTAGAACTGTTAAATCAATATGTTAAAATACAAAAAAGTTAATTTTGTTATTTTTAACATGCACATCATATTTATAGGAAAATGTTTTAGAATCTTTTCAATAATAATCTTTTCAATAAAAAAGCATTATTGTCAATATTAGTTTCTAATATTGATAATTTAAAAATAGTATTTATCACTTTTCTTTCCATGTTTCCTTGGGGAACATGAAAAGTGCAAAAGAGGAGCAGAAACAAATGACATGTGTAACCAGATTCAGAACCCTTGCAACACAGGGAAGGAGAACAGTTACTGAGCCTTGTGCCACACATATTGTTCCTGCTCTAATGTAGGGGCTGGCAATCTTTTTCTCTATTAGAGCCAGAACTGCCTTGTAGCACAAAAGCATACAGATAGTATGTAAATGACTAGACTGGCTTCATTTGACTCACACGATTTTGGTGACCATTATCCAGAAGTACAGGTCTTTAAAGAATTGATGTTGAAAGTACCATGGCATCCTCCAACAGTGGAACCTAACCTGGTTTTGAGGCAGTGCCTTCAAGCAAAGACCTTAAGAGTAAGGAGTGAGGGGGTAGGGCTCAGTGCTCAGTGGCAGAGCACTTGCCTAATGTATTGTGAGGCACTGGGTTCAATCCTTATCATCACATTAAAAAAAAAAAGAATGAGGAGTGAATTAACTAGAAAAATTTATTTCTTCCAGAGGGGAATTGGCAAGGGAGTAGTGGGGTTAAGGAACTTTCCAATGTAAGCCATGCACTGTGGCAGGAACAGAACAGGGCTGATACGACTGGTAACAGGGAGAATGGTTCATGAGTCAGACATGAAGGCACAGGGATCTCACCATCTAAGGATTTTAGACTCCATCCTTAAGATAACAGGAAGATAGCTCAGTGTCTAAAACAATTAATTTACTTGCTAATTCTATGAATACTAAGAAGAAAATATATACAACTCACCTATGAGGAAAGTTTAGTTATGCTGGGATGTGAAGAATGGGTAGGATATAAAGCATACAGAGCCAGAGTGAAGGGGAGCCAGTAGAAAAAGTGAGCAAGGACTTGATGTCTGGCAGCTAATATTCTAAGGCCAATGTGACTAGGGAATGGGAAAGGCAGAAGGATATGAAGGAGGAGGGAAATGTTTAAGCAGGGAATAAAGGCCATGGAAAGCCACTAGAGCTTTAAATAGGAAAATGACAAGATCTGACTTGACAGGATCCTGCTATATGGAAAATGGATTGGAGGGGGATTTAAGTGGGAACAGGGAAAACTGAGGATACTATTGCAGTAGCCAAGGTAAAAGATAATGGCTTGGAATAGGGCAGTAGCAGTGAAGACAGAGGATAGAAAACAGATTTCAGGTAAAAGTTGCAGGAATTATTGAAAGGCTGGGAAAAAGGGGTAGTAAAGACGAGTTAAAGATGAGTCTCAGAGTTCTGGCTTTGGTGTAACCACATAGTTGGAGCACTACTTAGTAAGATGGGGAATACCAGATTCGGAATGATGGGAAGATCAGAAGATCAAAATTTATATTATATTAACATAACTAAACTAATATAATTAAGCAGGCATTATGACATTATGATTCTGGAACACAGAGAGAAGACCAGAAACGAGAAATCCAACATTTAGTCATTACATAGAGAGAAAAAGTGGCTAGCAAAGGAGACTGAAAAGAAATAGCCAAAGGGGTGGGGGGCAGAAATTCCAAGAGAAAATGTCAATGAAGCCAAGAGAAGAGAAATTAAAAATGGAGAAACTGTTTTGAATATTCCAGAGATTGAAGAAGATGAGAACAAAGTATCCACTGGATTTGGCAACACAGAAGTCATTGGCAACCTGACAAGAGCAATTTCAATTGCTGGTCAGAAAAATAGATTGGTATAGCCTGAAGAAAGAATAAAAGGTGAGTTGGCACAGGTAGAAATCTGGTCATGAAGGAAAATTTTAAAAATTAGAATGGTAGTTGGAGGGGCATTTGAGAGATACCAGAATATAAACTGTATTCTTAGGGAAATAGTCTTATGGAGAGGATTTGGTGGTTGATTGTATGGAGAATAATAGAGAGGAAAGAAGCCAAGGATTACACATAGGATTGATAGTGGCGCTGTTTATTGAGATGAAGAATAGAAGCAAAGGAAAATTTATTTGCCTCCAAGATCAGATATTATCACAGTAGGTAGGCTTTCTTCTCATGGAAGAGGACTTCACAGTAGAAAAAAGTAAAATTAGACTATGTCTCTAAAGATGTTTTCTTTTTCTGGAACTGGGGATGGAATCCACAGGCATCTACCACTGAGTTACACCCCAATCCCTTTCATTTTTATTTTTGAGACAGCTCTAAGTCACCCAGGTTGGACTTCAACTTGGGATTCTCCTGTCTCAGCCTCTTGAGTAGCTGGGATCACAGGTGTGCACCACTGCATGGGCCCAGACTATACCACTTTCTGATGTGACTAATCTCTTTAAAAAGATTAAAACATCTCCAGAGTAATGCTACACTAATCTAATCTAGTAGCCTAACCAAAAAAGGGGGAAAAAAAAAAAACTGAATAAAAATGAGCTTGTGTTGATGTAAAGGAGACTAGTCATGGAAAAATGGTCCTAAATTCACAACTGATTTGGGAGCAATCATGCCTTGGTAATGAAAACACTGAAGACTTAGGCCAGGCATAGTGGCATAGGCCTGTAGTCCCAGCTACTTGGGAGATGAAGACAGGAAGATTACTTGAGCTCAAGAGTTGGAGCCAGCATGGATAACATATCAAGACCCCATCTCAAAATAAAACAAAAAAGCAAAAACAAAGAAATACTGAAAACTTAGAAACTGGTAAATTTTGAATAAATCAAACTTTTTCACTGAAGAACATTTTTACTGAATAAATTTAATCAAACAAAATTACTGACACTCTGGTGTATCTTATTTCTTTGCTACTTATGATATTACACTGAAATTCCATGGAAGTCTTTCGGAAAGCTTAAGTGTCCTTTTTAAAGGAATAAGTATCCGTTCTTGTGAGAACCCAGGGAAACAAACTGCTCAGATAGTGCTGAAGAAACAGGCAAAAATGCAGGATAAAGTTTTGACTTAACGACCAGTCTGATGTTTATGGCAGGTGCTGGCAAATGTCTGGGGAAATGAATCTATTAAGAATGAAGGGATTCAGTACTTCTACAAGATCTCTGATCTTTAGAAAGGGATCAAGGATGCAGCCATTTACTTAAAGTTCTGACTCTATTATTCAACAATACGGGAAGAGCTAGCATAGCACGTCTGATGGCTGAGCTGTTTAAAACCTGGTAGGAGACACATTTCTAGGACAAACAATCCTTTCACCTGATCCCAGGTTAGAAGCCCTAGGTCCCTTCCATTCCTAATTCCCTCGCGTGGCCCAGTTTTTTGAATCTACGGAGACAGATGGGATCCCAGGAAGCCTGTTGATTCAATAGGCCACCCAATTCCCGGGTTCAGGATGAGAAGGCTTTGAGAAAGGTATTGAGACTGAGCAACTATTCTGCTATCCTCTCCCCTTCCTCGCAGAGAGCAGGGAAGGCCGCCGCCCCCCCTTCTTCCCGCAGACGGGTCCCCAGAGCCTCTTCCCTTACGGGAACAGGCCATAGGAGCCTGGTTCCGCACCTGACCCATGCAAGAAACACAATCTCCGGTCTGAATACTACCTGCTTGAAGCCCGCCGTTCCTCTGATGCGAAAAGCCCCCACTGAGGAAAATGGAGTCGTCGAACCGAGACTGGGAAAGGATAGTAAGGACCCACCACACGACCCCTCCGCCGCCACCGCCGCGGCTGCTGCGTCAACGTGCTACGTCACTTCCGGCTCCCTGTCACTGGGAGTGGGCGGGCTGTTCCTACCTCTCTTCTGCCGGGTTCTCTGGAGTTTCGACGGAGGATGCGAAAGCTACCAGGTAGCGTTCAGGAAGGCAGTTGCCAAAGAGTCCCCCAAATACAGCAAGGTGATCAACATCAACCTGAACCGGGGAGCGGGGTGGGTTCCTCAGACCGCTCTAGCCCAAATGAACCATAAAGATCAGATCAAGGCTTCTTTACTTCCGCCTCTCAATAATTCCGCCTTCATCTTCCGGTTCCGGGGAGGGGCCAAATTTTCTTGGAGGATTAGGGACGCTGCGATTCACTTAGGATGGCTGTTTTACAGCTACTGTTGTTTGGGGGTTTGTGGAGCTCTGTGGGGGCGTCCAGTCTGGCTGTCGTTACTTGTGGATCTGTGGTGAAGTTACTCAATACGCGCCACAACGTCCGGCTGCACTCACACGACGTGCGCTATGGGTCAGGTACTGCTGGGGACCCGGTTTGGGTGGGCTGGGGAGGCCCGGTAGATTCTGAAGGGGGCGGAGCCTCGGAGACTTAGGGATCCCCTGGGGAGGCTCCTGAGGTCCAGAGAGGATGAAAAACGGAGTTGTTCTAAGGCCAGTTTCATCGTAATACCAGCTTCTATTTGGCAAGCTAAGTGCCAGGCAAGTCGATATGTCCTTTCTTTTGTTTTTTTAAACCACAAAACTACATCTCCACCCTTTTTATTTTCTATTTTGGGGCAGGGTCTCACTAACTTGCCGAGACTGGCCTCGATCTCTGCCACAGCCTTCTGAGTCGCTGGGATTACAGGCGTGCGCTACCATTCTCGGCAATTTTTTTTTTCTTTTTCAATTTTTTAACATTCCAGTGAGATAGATGCTATTGTTATCCTCGTTTTCAGGTGAGAAAATAGACTCAGAAAAATTAAATCGCTTGTTCAAAACCTTGCAACTAAGTTTGATCCAAATCAGTTAAGAATCAAAACATTTCAACTGCTTTTTTTTTTTTTTTTTGGAGTGAGGGTACTGGGGATTGAACTCTGGGCACTCGGCCACTGAGACACATCCCCAGCCCTATTTTGTGTTTTATTTAGAGACAGAATCTCACTGAGTTGTTTAAGGCCTCACAGTTGCTGAGGCTCCTGTCTCAGCCTCCCAGAGCTACTGGGATTACAGGCAAGCGCTAGCTACCACACCCAGCCTTTCCACTACTTTGGGTTGTCACTAGTTTGGGAGAAAAATGATGTAGCAAATTATAGTAAGTGCTATATCTCTGAAGTTTTAAAGTCCAAGAATTTTACTCTTTGATTACAACCCTCTGTCTTCTAGCTCACGTTGTCCTATCTTTTGGTCCCTTTTTACTCAATCTTAACTTCCTTTTAAAAAAGCAGAGGGGTGTGGTGGTACATGCCCGCAATCTCAGCTACATAGGAGGCAGAAGCAGAAGGATTATAAGTTTGAGGCCATCCTGGGCAACTTAGACCTTGTCTCAAAATAAATTTTTAAGATTCTCTGCACTTCTCCCTGGTGAGCTGTGAGACCTGTGGGTCTGCTCCTTGACTTCCCTCATAGGATGGCCCCCAAACGCCAATCTTCGCTCCAGTCTCAAACAAAAAAACCCAAACTGCCTGCCGCCCCTGAGCAGGCGAATTCATCGGCCTCTCTGGGTTTGCCGAAGGGAGAAAAAGAACAACAAGAAGCAATTGAACATATCGATGAAGTACAAAATGAAATAGACAGACTTAATGAACAAGCCAGTGAGGAGATATTGAAAGTAGAACAGAAATATAACAAACTCCGCCAACCATTTTTTCAGAAGAGGTCAGAATTGATCGCCAAAATCCCAAATTTTTGGGTAACAACATTTGTCAACCACCCACAAGTGTCAGCACTGCTTGGGGAGGAAGATGAAGAGGCGCTGCATTATTTGACCAGAGTTGAAGTGACAGAATTTGAAGATATCAAATCAGGTTACAGAATAGATTTTTATTTTGATGAAAATCCTTACTTCGAAAATAAAGTTCTCTCCAAAGAATTTCATCTGAATGAGAGTGGTGATCCATCTTCAAAGTCCACTGAAATCAAATGGAAATCTGGAAAGGATTTGACGAAACGTTCAAGTCAAACGCAGAATAAAGCCAGCAGGAAGAGGCAGCATGAAGAACCAGAGAGCTTCTTTACCTGGTTTACTGACCATTCTGATGCAGGTGCAGATGAGTTAGGAGAGGTCACCAAAGATGATATTTGGCCAGATCCATTGCAGTACTATTTGGTTCCTGATATGGATGATGAAGAAGGGGAAGGAGAAGAAGAAGATGATGATGATGATGAAGAAGAAGGATTGGAAGATATTGATGAAGAAGGGGATGAGGATGAAGGTGAAGAAGATGAAGATGATGATGAAGGGGAGGAAGGAGAGGAGGATGAAGGAGAAGACGACTAATTGAACACTGATGGATTCCAACCTTTTTCTTTCTTTCTTTTGTTTTTTGTTTTTTTCTTTTGTTTTTTGTTTTTTTAATTCAGTCCCTGGGAGCAAGTTGCAGTCTTTTTTTCCCCCCCCCACCCCCCACCCCCTTGTGCTCAGTCGCCCTGTTCTTGAGGTCTCTTTTCTCAAACCATGCTTCTCAACTTATTTTGGGGGGAAATACCTTGAGCAGAGTACAATGGGAAAAGAATCTCTACACCCTTCTGTTCTAAATTCATTTTTATCCCTTCCTGTCTCAAAACAAAAAACAAAAAACTGTATGGAATCAACACCACCGTGCTCTGTGGGAAAAAAGAAAAACCTTCTACTCTCTTCACTCTGCTGGAAGTTGGAGGGTGCTAGGCCCCTGTGTAGTAGTGCATAGAATTCTAGCTTTTTTCCTCCTTTCTCTGTATATTGGGCTCAGAGATTACACTGTGTCTCTATGTGAATATAGACAGTTAGCATTTACCAACATGTATCTGTCTACTTTTTCTTGTTTAAAAAAAGAAAAAAAAAAACTTAAAAAAATGGGGTTATAGAAGGTCAGCAAAGGGTGGGTTTGAGATGTTTGGGTGGGTTAAGTGGGCATTTTGACAACATGGCTTCTCCTTTGGCATGTTTAATTGTGATGTTTAACGGACATCCTTGCAGTTTAAGATGACACTTTTAAAATAAAATTCTCTCCTAATGATGACTTGAGCCCTGCCACTCAATGGGAGAATCAGCAGAACCTGTAGGATTTTATTTGGAATTGACATTCTCTATTGTAATTTTGTTTGTTTATTTTTAAATTTTCTTTTTTGTTTTCACTGGAAAGGAAAGATGATGCTCAGTTTTAAATGTTAAAAGTGTACAAGTTGCTTTGTTACAATAAAACTAAATGTGTACACAAAAAAATAAATAAATAAATAAATAAATTTTTTAAAAGGGCTGGACAAGTAGTTCATGGGTAGAGTACTAGCCTAGCATGTGAAAAACCCTGGGTTTAGTATTGCTATTTAAAATAATAACAACACCAAAACACCCCCCCCCCCCAAAAAAAAAAAAAAAACAACCCTTAAAGCAGTTACAGACATTGTAGAGCAAACTGCTTTGCTTTTTGGGGGGTGGGGGTGGGGGTAGTGCTGGGGATTGAACTCATAGCCTTGCAAGTACTAGTAAGCACTTTACCACTGAGCTAAATCCTCAGCCCAGGAAACTGCTTTTTGCTATATGAAATTAAAATATTTGATAATCAGTTACTTATGAGTCCATTCATTCAGGATAGATTTAATAAGCCCCTACTGTGTGCCTAATATTGTTCTAGATGCAGGAGATGCAATAGTGAATCAATCAAGTTACAAGGAAGACAATAAAAATAGAGAAATAGAAGTTCGAGGACTGGGGAATTAACTCCAATGGTAGAGCACTTGCCTAGCATGCACAAGGCCCTGGGTTTGATCCCAACATTAAAGGAAAAAAGAAAAACAAAATCAGTTGGTGAGGCGTGATAAGCATCTAAGATAACTTGGATGACTGATTATGTTGGACTATGCTTGTTCATTCAGTGATGAAGGAGTTCCCTCAGATGGATTAATCTGTAATTCATGTTTCCCAAAAGTCTGACCAGTTTGATTAGGGAAGGAACTGAGTTGTTATTATTGGGATGTCTTAATAATCCTAGCAACCATTCAGTTAATACCCACTTTGTGTCAGGTTTATTGCTTTTTTAAATTTTCTTTTTATTTTTTGGTACCAGGGATTGAACCCAGGGGGCACTTAACCACAGAACCACATCCCTAGCACTCCTCTTTTTTGGGGATTGGGGGTACTGGAGATTGAATTCAGGGGCATTCAACCACCGAGTCACATCCCCAGCCCTAGTTTGTATTTTATTTAGAGACAGGATCTCACTGAGTTGCTTAGCATTTCATTGTTGCTGAGGCTGGCTTTGAACTTGTGATTCTCTTGTCTCAGCCTCCTAAGCCATTGGGATTACAGGTGTGTGCCTCTCTGCCTGGCAGGAAATGCAACAGTGAATCAACCCTTTTTTATATTTTATTTAGAGACAGGGTCTTGTTGAGTTGCTTAGGGCCTTGCTAACTCACGATCCTCCTGCCTCAGCCTCCCAAGTCACTGGGATTAGGCATTTGCCACCATGCCAGGCTTAATGTTTTTTAGTTTGATATGATTCTCTGCTTTAGATCTACTGAATTAAAATGGAGGTGATGAGATGCCTAGCATAAAAGTCTGATAGTTTCAAATACTCTTTAGGTGGTTCTGATGGGCAGCCACATTTGAGAACCAGGTTCAGTCTAGAGTACAGAAGGATCTCTGCTGAATCTGAGATACAAAGTTATACAACATTGTTGAATGGTGATGGTTGAAGAGTGATGGGAGTAGATGAAATTACCCAGGATGACTATGGTTCTTAATATAAGAATTACTTGAGAAACTTGTTAAAGATACAAATGCTTTTGTCCTGACCCCCAATTAAGAACCTCTAATACAGATAGATGAGGTCTACGGGCTTGGATTGTGGCTGAATGGTAGAGTACTTGCATAGCACATGTGAAGCAATAGGTTCAGTCTTCAACACCACATAAAAATAAATCGTTAAAAAAACCAATCACCACTTTTTTTCTTTAAAAAAAAAAAAAAGTTGAATAGAGATGAGGTCCAGTTATAGAATTCTGGATAATCTCAAGATTTAGGGATTGTGGGAGGAAAAAGTGGGTTGAATAGAAAGTGTGAAAGGTAAGAAATAAAAAGTAGATTATGATTTAGTAAACACTATTGTGCATACTGAGACAGCAAAAAGGGAGTTTAGTTGCCTGCCCCCCTTCTTTTTTTTTTTTTTTTTTTTTTAAGATGTAACAAAGTCATAACCAGGTTGAAAGAACCCTGTAGAGTGGAGCTGATAGTTTGTTGCATTTACTCAAAGGAGAAGTACAAGGCACAGTGTTACACAGTAAAAGGGAAATATCAAAAGCTTGTGGTTAGGCAGGTCCATGGATCTCAAGGCAAAGCTGGGAGGTGCAGGTGAGATTATTTAAGGTAAGTATTTGGGAAATATGAGATGTCTTCAAAGAAGGGTTGTACATAAGGCCTAGTAGGGGGAAAAAAAATCCCTAGAGTTTATTAGAGAGTAACCTGTTTGGAGGAACTTGACAGAAAAATCTGGAAAAAGAAAGATGTCATTGGGCTGGGGCTGTAGCTCAGTGGTAAAGCGCTTGCCTAGCACGTGTGAGGCCCTGGGTTTGATCCTCAGCACTACATAAAAATAAATAAATGGAATAAAGGTATTGTGAAAAAAATTCTTGGAGTGGGGGAAGATATCCTTACTGTGGGATGTATTGTGATGGAGTGACTGTTAGTTCTAGGATCAGGTTTCCTAGGTTCAGCCCCAACCTTGTTAGAATTGCATAACCTTGGGCATACTAGTCAGCCTTTCTAACACTCCAACATAAACTGAGGATGATAATAATTCCTATCTAAGAGAATAGAGGCATGTATTAAATAAGAATATTCAAGCAAAGGACTTGGGTTAGTGCCCGATACCTGGTAACTGCTCAGGACATATTAGGTACAAATTATTATTTGTATATATTTCCTTTTTGTTTTTTAAATTTGTAATTGTAGATGGACAGCATGCCTTTATTTGTGTATCTATTTATTTTTTAATGCAGTGCTAAGGATAATCCCAGTACCTCATACATGCTAGGCAAGCGCTCTGCCACTGAGCTACAGCCCAGCCCTCCTTTTTATTTTTAAGTCTATAGCTACTTTTTTCTTTTTCTTTTTTTGGTACTAGGGGTTGAACCCAGGGGTGCTTAATCACTGAGTCACATCCCTAGCCCTTTTTATTTTTTATCTTGAAACAGTCTTGCTAAGTTGCTTAGAACCTCATTAAGTTGCCGAGGCTGGCTTTGAACTTGTGATTCTCCTACCTCAGCTTCCTGGGCTGCTGGGATTACAGGCGAATGCTGCTTTTCCTGGCTGTAGCTACATATTTAACTCGGTGCCTTTTAACCTGCAGAATTGTACCAGTTAAGGCAGGATTAACCAAATTTAGATGTCCTCAGAGTAATTTTATAATGTACTGATAGACTACTTAACAAGAGTTTCAGAATTATTATGGCTTCTTGGATTAAAGTTGATGATATAAAGTCATTTTATTTTAATTATAAAATATAAGAATTTTTATTTAATGCATAGTAAGCATTGAAAATATTACAAACATGTTAAAATTATATACTTAGATACCTGACATATATTTGGGATTATCCAGTCTAGTACATACATGTAAACATTGCCTATACTTAAAAAAAACCTCACATATTTGTGGATTTGTATCTAATTCTTTTGATGCAAATTCTTGGAATTTTTTGATATGGCACTCCCTTAAGTATAATATATGCTAATTAAAACTACAGTATATGAACATTTAATATTTTCATAAATATTTTAATATCATAGAAAAAATATTACCAGCTATAATGTTCCCTTCCCATCCCTTCCTGCCAGTTTTATGACACAGGGCACATTTTTAGGGCCATAGAATTAGGTTGAGTTCACTTGCTTTCTCTTTTTTTTCTGTTTTTGACTGTAGGTAGTGGCCAGCAGTCAGTGACAGGTGTAACCTCTGTGGATGACAGCAACAGTTACTGGAGGATACGGGGGAAGACTGCCACGGTGTGTGAAAGGGGAACCCCCATCAAATGTGGCCAGCCCATCCGACTGACACATGTCAACACTGGCCGAAACCTCCATAGTCACCATTTTACTTCACCTCTTTCTGGAAACCAGGTGAGGTGGCATCTAATGGATCACTTTGCTCTGCAATACTTGATTCTCTTGTTTGAGCTCCTGGTTCTTAACCCTTTCCTTTCCAAATGTAAATGTTCTTTTCTGCAGACCTGGAGAAATGACTTTCGTAAGTGTGAAGAAAGTTGTTTCTGGTCCCATGGAAACTTTCCACCTAGATAAAAGTCAAGAAATGGAGGGAACAGAGAATAGTTATGAATTAAGTTCTGATAAATTCTGCAGTTTGGAAACCCAATGTTTCCAAACTTGCAATAAAAATGATTATTATTTAAAAAATTTTTTTTAGTTATAGATGGACACAGTACCTTTATTTTATTTATTTTTATGTGGTGCTGAGAATCAAACCCAGTGCCTCACAGGTGCAAGGCAAGTGATCTACCACTGAGCCATAACCTCAGCCCCAAAATGATTATATTTTTAATGATGCTAACTAACCACATTGGGAAAATGAATTTTTGCCACTTTTTTTCCCCCTGGTGCTGGGGATGGAACCCAGGACCCTTCCTCATGCTAAACTGTGCCATAACAATGAACTACACACATAGCCTCTCTACCACTTTTTTAATCCTTGAGCTTTCAGGGGATATAAACCCCTTAATGACTTCTTCCCTCTGGCACCCCCCCCCCCACCTCACATAGTTTTAGCTATGAGCATCTTATGTTAATAAGGTACAGTTGCTAGAATTGATGAAATAATATTGATACATTATTTCAACTAATGTACATAGATTATTTTAGTTTTCTTTTTATCTAATGTTCTTTTTCTGTTCCAGGATACCACATTATATTTAGTTGATATATCTTGTTAGGATCCTCTTGGTTTTGACAGTTTTCTAGCTTTCTTTGTTTTTGATGACCTTGACAGTTTTGAGAAGTGCTAGTCAGGTGTATTGTTATTGCTCCTCTTTCGGAATCTGTCTGACGTTTTTGTCATGATGAGACTGTGTTTATAAAGGGTTTTGGGAGCAAGGTCACTGAGTTAAAAGTGACATTTTCCTCACATACTATGAAGGATACCTGTTGTCTATGTGATTTAAAAAAAATATTTATTTTTTAGTTTTAGGTGGACACAATATCTTTATTTTACTTTTAAGTGTACTAAGGATCGAACCCAGTGCCTCATGAATGCTAGGCAAGCACTCTACCACTGAGCCACAACCCCAGCCCTATATACATGATTTTTGATTGCTGATATTGACCTTGATTACCCGACTATAGTAGTGTTCTAGTGAGTTTCTCCTGTAAAGTTACTCTTTTCATTTAGGCCAAGACAGTAGAATTGCATGTTGATAAAGTAAGTCCAGTCTACAGTTGGAGTAACTACATTATTTATGTGGGGTTTTTCCATATGGAGGTTTTTGTCTCTTTTCCCCAGTTTATTTATTCATTTATATCAGTATGAACTCTTGGATTTATATTACATATTTTGACTTATAATTCAATATTATTGTCTTCACTTTGTTGCTCAGATTATTCCAACTTTGGCTATTGGGGAATCTTCCTGTTGTCTGTTATATCCATTTGACAGAATCTCATTGTATGTGTGTTTTAAAGCACTTGCTTATAACTTTCTGGCACTGAAAGATGCTTCAGGTTCATTTTGCTTATTGCTTGCCCCACTCTTAGACTCCTTATTTCTCCTCGGAGCCCTGTTTCCCTTCATTGGAGAATGGTGTTAGAACTAAAATCTAGACTTTATATGAGCTTATTGCTTTACTGGGATATTATTTCTTTTAGGTCCTCTTAGCAGACAGCAAAGAAATATATGTGTGTATACTAACTCATACGTCTACACATATATACTGATATATTTAGCCATCTGTGTATTGTTAAACATGAGCTCTTATTGATACCTCCAACTCTAATCCATTACTACATTTATCATTCTAGCATGTTTATTTGTAAATCCTTGCTGCAACAGTGAGGTACCAGGCTTCCACCATCCACCATCCATTTCCTTCTTCAGTTCCCATATACAAGTATAGTTTTAGAATTGTTAACTGGAACTCCCATGGGATACTTATTTTATCAAGTAAGTGTTCTGTGTTTAAGGTAGTTCCTTTTGTCTTTAGTTATATAGATTCCATTTTCAAAGTTCTGCTTTTTATTATCTAAATTATATAGTTGTTAGTATACATTTAAGTCAGATGTTTCTGAAATAATTTTTTTTAATCATCATTGTGTAGAAACCCTAAATATTTGGCCTACAGGAGAATGAGTTTTCATTGAGGAAAGGAATATAGAGAACCTGCTATGTTTTGTTCACTTAATATTTATTGGGCATGGTGGTGCACACCTATAATTTTAGTGACTTTAGAGGCCAAGACAGTAGAATTGCATGTTCAAGGACAACCTGGATAACATAGCAAGACCCTGTCTCAAAATAAAACATAAAAAGGACTTGGGATGTAGCTCAGTGGTAAAAGGCCTGTGGGTTTAAACTCTAATAGCAAGAAATAAATAAAGCCAAATAACAACAGTTATAAGGGCTGGGGATGTGGCTCAAGCGGTAGCGCGCTCGCCTGGCATGCGTGCGGCCCAGGTTCGATCCTCAGCACCACATACAAACAAAGATGTTGTGTCCGCCAATAACTAAAAAAATAAATAAATATTAAAATTCTCTCTCTCTCTCTTTAAAAAACAAAAAACAAAACGGTTATAAAATATTTTAATAGGCCAGGTATAGAGGCATGTGCTTGTGGTCAGCTACTTGGGAATCTGAGGCAGAGGGATTGCTCAAAACCAGGGGTTTGGATCAACCTGGACAACTGAGCAAGAACCCATTTCTAAAGAAATAAAAATGTTTTAAGACTATAATAGAAAATAAAAGGCAATATGATACTAATTGCAAATTAAGTGTTTGAACCATAATTTTATGGCAACTAATTTCTTTTTCTCTTGCATACTTTTTGTGTTTTCTTGGGTTTTTCCCCCACAGGTTTATTTTATTTTTTACAACACTAGAAAGACTGTCATTTGTTACAGGCTTATTTTTCTTCCCATTGTCTCCTTCTACTCTTCAAGCCTATGTGTCAGCCATGCTAATGTTGCCACCTTCTGTGTCTTCCAGGAAGTGAGTGCTTTTGGTGAGGAAGGTGAAGGTGATTACCTGGATGACTGGACAGTGCTCTGTAATGGACCCTACTGGGTGAGAGATGGTGAAGTGCGATTCAAACATTCTTCCACTGAGGTACTGCTATCTGTCACAGGAGAACAATATGGTCGGCCCATCAGTGGACAAAAAGAGGTGCATGGCATGGCCCAGCCAAGCCAGAACAACTACTGGAAAGCAATGGAAGGCATTTTCATGAAGCCCAGTGAGTTGTTGAAGGCGGAAGCTCACCATGCAGAACTATGAGTCCAGAGGCTCTGAGCCGCTTTCACCACACAGTGTTCACAGACATCTGCTGCTTCACCGTGGGATCCCTGTCACAAGTACCCTGTGTAGCAGCCATGTCCCCATTGAGATGAAGATGACAATAGAAAACAGTGGTTGTGTTTGGAAGCTGTAACTCTTTTCATCTGAATTGGTTGCTCTCCCAAACTTGGGTCAGTCCTGAGCAGAGGACTTGTTGAAGGTGCAGGCGCTTTTTATTCATATTGGTTTAAAAAAAAAAAAATACTAAGGGAATTTCCTCTTAGCTGGGAAGTTTTTACTCCTCAGGGGCTTGGCATCATGGATTGTTTAATGACTCCTCTTTTTTGTTTTTCATTGCTAAGAATTGAACCTAGGGCCTTGCACATGCTAGGCAAGTGCTCTAGCATTGAGCAAGACCCCCTGCCCACATCATGATGTTCATGTGTATGACTTTTCCCCTCATGTGTGTGACTTTTCCCCTATTTTTCTTTCTCCAAAATGACTTAAAAAAAAATTCTAACATTTGTCACTGTGTTGTTATTTACTATGTGTGCTATTTATTGAATTGCTTAATCCTTAAGTCCCAAGAGTCTTTGAGATGCTAGGAGTCTTCAATATAGGCCATTCTAATGCATCCAGTCCTTTTCTCTCTGTATCTTCACTTTTTCCCAGGTGCCTCATCTTTATTAGATTTTTGACTAATTATGGCTAAAGACCGTCAAAAGAATACAGCATAATATGTAGCTGATGAGGGGCTGGTGTTGGGACTCAATGGTAAAGCACTTGGTTAGCACGTATGAGGCACTGGGTTCCATCCTCAGCACCACATAAAAATATTTAAATAAAGTTATTTTATAAAAAAGAATATTTAAAAAATCAGTAACTAATGAAATGTTTCATTCTGAATCTTATTGCAAGTGCAAAAAGAAAAAAGGCATAGGAAGTAGAAAAAACCAATATTGTATCTCTTACCTCATTTCATCTTCACTAAAATGTTACAGGATAGATATTATTTTTTTTTGAGAGAATTTTTTAATATTTATTTTTCAATTTTCGGTGGACATAACATCTTTTTATTTTATTTTTATGTGGTGCAGAGGACTGAACCCAGTGCCCTGCACATGCCAGGTGAGTGCATTACCGCTTGAGCCTCCTCCCCAGCCCTATTGTAATTTTTTAAAAACTTTTTTTTTAACATTTATTTTTTAGTTGTAGTTGGACACAATACCTTTATTTTATTTACTTATTTATTTTTATGTGGTGCTGAGGATCAAACCCAAGGCCTCGCACGTGCTAGGTGAGCATTCTACCGCTGAGCCACAACCCCAGCCCTAAATATTATAATTTTACCAATTTACAGAACAGTGAGTGACAATTGCCTGAAATCTTTTGTGTGTGTGTGTGTGTGTGTGTGTGTGTGTGTGTGGCGCGCACGCCTCGAACTGAATTTTTTTAAATATATAGTTTTTTAGTTATATATGGACACAACATCTTTATTTTATTTATTTAATTTTATGTGGGGCTGAGGATAGAACCCAGGGCCTCACACATGCTAGGCAAGCACTCCACCACAGCCCCTGAACTCAATAACCTTATTTTAAGTACTTATTTATTTTTTTGTGGTGCTGAGGATTGAACCCAGTACCTCACATGAATTCTGAATTCTTAAAAAGTAGTAAATTTTGGGATAGGAATCCAGCTGTGTCTTATTCACTCTTTTTGCTACACAACAACTGTGTTTAGCTCTTGGAATACAATCCTCCCTTCCTCTTCCAAAGAGAGGGATATGTTTTTAGGAAAAAGTGGATGGGAACATTTTTATTCTCACCTCCTTTCCTTCTTTCCTATGCCAGTTAATTCCAGAAAGTTAGCTCCTGTATCCTTCAAACATGGTAGTGGTGAACAGAAGTAGCTGCCATCTGCTGGAATTTTGATTAACAAGCTTTTTTATTTTTAGAAATTTCAGGCTTTCTTTTTTTTTTTTTCCTCTTTGCTTTGCTTTAATTTGTTAATGTTGAACAATTGACAATCCATTCTGTGCCAGACATGGCCTATAACTTTAAAAGACTTTTTTTTTTTTGGTACCAGGGATTGAACCCAGGGGCACTTAACCACTGAGCCACATGCCAACCCTTTTTATTTTTTGAAATAGGATCTTGCTAAGTTGCTTAGGGCTTGCAAAATTACTGAGGCTGGCTTTGAACTTGTGATCCTCTGGCCTCAGCCTCCCTAGCAGCTGGGATTACGGGTTTGTCCCACCTAGCAAGACTTTTTTATTTTTTTGGCAAGGACTTGTTTCAGAAAACTGGGGCCATGAATTAGAACTCCTCTGCATTTGCCCCTGCCATTCTTCCTTATTCTGCTTAGGTTGCATTGATTTTTTTTAGGACATCTTCTAAAATAAGAAGAGAAATAGTAAAACAGACAAATAATAGAAAATTCAAGGTATGAGATGATTGGGAGTAGGCATTATAACAGTCTGGAGGGGAGGATTGGACAAAGGGGAATGAAGGGAGGAGGATGAGAATAGGAAAGACAGTAGAATGAATCGGACATAACTTTCTTATGCTCATATATGAATGCTCTATGTGATCAGAGAAACTCTTGTACAACCACAGAAGGGATCCTAAGTTATACTCTATGTATGCATGATATGTCAAAATACACTCTACTGTTGTACAAGTATATGTAAAAAGAAAAATATTAAAAACAAAACTAGTCTACGGAGAAGGAAGGAAGTGATAAGTATTTTAGCTGAATAAAGGAATCAGATTGGACAAGATGAAAGTAGGGAGACATTTTTGCAAGGCACTCTTCTTTAAGAGTTGTTGGTCATTCTCTGAGGACATACTCTGATAGAAGCCTGGAGAATTGAGGATAACAGAAATATAGTGCTTGAAAGACAAGTATGACTTTGAAATAGTGATGGGGCCCATGGGGATATGTGAAATAATTGAGAGGACTAGATAAATGGAAGTAAAATAAAGCAACTTTGGGTAATGCGCAGGTGAAATTTGAAATGATGCTTTATCTGAAAGAGCCAAAAAGAATCTCCGAGTACATTTTGAGATATGTTTGTGAAAATTAGGACGTTACACAACGGGACACAATGTATTTCATAATACTTATTTTGAAACCCTCAGAATTTCTTTAGGTTGTATTGTATTAGTAAATCACTCAGTTACCCGTAACAAAACAGCAAGTTTAAAGGACTTTTGTCCTTCCCTCATTTTGCAGAGAAGGAAGTGGGCAAAATTAATCCTAACTGAATTGACCTTTAATTCTTATTTCATGTAATTATGTATGCTTCCTAAATTATTGCTGAAGGACAAGAACAATACTCACTACCTCTTTAGTATCACTTTACCCCCCTTCCTAGGTCGTTTCTGTTATACACATTGCATTACAGAAACTTTCAATTTCTCCAGTGAAATGTCCAGATGGTTCTGTGCACACAGTAGGTTAATTCGTATTAATTGACCATAACAATAAGACAGTAATGGAATTAGAGAAAAAAATAGGGGTCTCCCTTGAGGATGGAATAAGGTGCAATTTCTGAGTTGCCTCCCCAGCACTCTGCTTCTGGGCTGGGGATTGAAGCTAAAGTCTTACTACCTGCTAGGCAAGTGCTCTACTTTTAAATTACATTCCCAGCTCTTCTAAGATCTTTTAATTACCTCTTGGTTTCCCCCATCATTTTCAGACAGGATCCTTGAATTCGAGAGAGGAGTGCTACTACGTCTGCTTCAGGGGTATAACTTTGGTTGATTCTTCAATGCAGGCCCAGAGCAGACAGGCATACCCTGTAATTGACCTAGGAAATCCGCTTTGAGAATGGAACTCTTCGTGGCCAAAGTAAGCCAACCAGGTCACCCACCATCAGCCTGAAGAACGCCCCGGGCTTCTCAGTCCGGGCTCTGCAGGGTGCGCCCAGGGCGGGGCGCTTGTGTCAGCTGGATGGTCGCCTGCACCCGTGTCATTCCCTCCGGAGCCACGCCCTCACTCTGTGCAAGCGCCAGTTGGCCCTCTTGACTCTCATGAGGGGGGCGGGGCGGGGGGGAGAGAGAGCGCTGGCTGGCTGGAGGGCTGCGGGGGGCGGGGCGCGCGCGCGCACCAACGCTTCCTGGCCCAGCGTTGCCCCTGCGCGCGCGGCTGGTCGGCCCGCGGCGGCGCTGCGCGGTTCAGGCGTCGGGGCCCGGCATGGCTGGGGCCGGGGCCAGGCCGGGCCGGACCCGGACCTAAATGCCTCTGCTTCTTTCCGCGCTGTTGGTCTTGCTGCTGGTTGCGCTTAGCGCTCTCTTCCTAGGCCGGTGAGGGGCTTCAGCCACAGCGATGGGGGAGGGGGGAGCGCCTGAGGAGGGGACGCGCGCGGCCCCGGCGCGGGAGGCGGAAAGGATATCGATGAGGAGGGGGGCGCGCGATAAAGGCGAAGGGAGGGAATGTGCGGCCAGAGATGCGGGGAGGGGCTGCGTGCAGAGGAGACTGGGGGAGCGGGTGGGGCCTGAGGGAATGCTGATTCCGGGGAGTGACTATGCGTGAGGACGGGGCCTCTCGATGGTTTCTCCTTCCCGCTCCACACGCCCTGAATGTCTCCTTCATCCAGCGCGAAGGGCACCTGCAGCTGGATTCCTCGCTCTGGAGCGAGGTCAGGAGGACTGGGAGTCCATGGGAGAGCGGCATTTGAACTGACCGTGTGTGACCCCGGACTTATCCAGGACACCTGTCTGGAGGGTGGGGGCGGAGACAGACCCTCTGGGGAGTATGTGATAGCACGGCTGCCTCCACCTTAACTCCTGTTGGGGTCTCTTCTGTCTCAGCTTTCTAAAGACTTGAGGAATTTTTTTTTTTTTGTCCCCATACTTGGGGGTGAGGTTTAGTTTATCAGGTTTCATCTGGGTGGCGGGGGTCACTGGAATCCTACAGTGCTGATTATGGCTGACTGTGTGTGACGGACAGGTGATTTGGGAGACAGGGGAGTTGCCCCAGAAAAAATCCAGTTTCAGGACATGATCCTTTGCAAGATCTTCTCAGACCAACAAGGGGTTCGGGAAGCCATACTTGGGATAGAGCCCTATTGAACTCACACGGATTTTTTTGCAGGTGGCTTGTGGTCCGGTTGGCCACCAGGTGGTGTCAGCGGAAGCTACAAGCAGAGTTAAAGATCGGTTCCTTCCGCTTTTTTTGGATCCAGAATGTCAGTCTTAAGTTTCAGCAGCACCAGCAAACAGTTGTGAGTTATGGGAAACTCACTGTGGGAGGAGGGGTGCGTGTGTGATGCAGTTGAATTTCAACCCTTAATTTACTTAAAAAAAAAAAATTTCTAATAGTAGATTTACACATACCTTCATTTTACATATATTTTTGTGTGATGCTGAGGATCGAACCCAGTGCCTTACCACTGAGCCACAACCCCAGTCCCTTAACCCTTAATTTGGTTTTAAAACAAAATTCTGGGTTGACAAGTCCAGTGGCACACAACTTTAATCCCAGGGACCAGCCAGGCTGAGGCAGGAGGATAACAAATTGGAG